CAAAATGAACGAATCGTTCAAGAACGACCCAACACTAATGTTTATTGTTTTATGTCCTTTGGGTTGGCCGTTGGCTGATAGTTTGTCCTCCATTAATATCGAAACCAAAACTAAGATCAGATCTTATTACAGACAAACACACTGCCATCACATACTCACACTGACTGCGGCTGGGTGCAAACTTAGCCTCTATGTTAAAACAATGTCTATTATGAATTTGACCAACTAGCTGTTAGCCGAGGGGTAATCAGTCTTATTTTTGGATTCAACTGAGACTAATCTATGCTTTTATGTAACTGAATAAAAAAATATATATATGACCAGTTTTAAAGAAAAAAAAATTAGATGACTAACTTATAAGACTAGTCTAAACCTCCTATGTCTCAAGAACTAGTCTGATCAACTCGCACGTATTCAAGGGGTAATCAAGCTTACTTTTCAGAAGTAGACCAGTCTCTGGAAAAAAGTTGTCAAAACTTCAAGAAAAAAATGTAATGACGTACTTGTAAGTCTCGTCTAAGCATTTTATGCAACCGGCTCCAGATATCACATGATACCTAACTAAACACTGAGCAGAGTTTTTAATACTGTGTTTGTTATGTGAATTGAGGAGCTATGTAAATTAATTTTTGTCATTATCGTATCATTCGTCGTCAAGTTTTGTTCATTTCGTCGCAGACTCTTATTTTGACGTTTTTCTGTTATTTCTAAAGGTGCGTCCCAATTGACCTTTTGCAAAGACCCATCCCCCTTAGTTACTGTTGCTATGTCTGACAAGCCACGGCGCCCTCACGCCACACGCTGTGAAAAATACATCGTGAAACAAAGAGGACACTAACAACATGCCGACAGACAAGACAGAGCAGGTTACGTAAGGTATGAAACAAAGACTCAGCTTTCAAATTGTATCATTTTTTAAAAGAAATTCAAACAATAAATACCATTTTGTGGCTCTTTAATGTGTCATGACAGATCGCTGTAGCGCTTCAGTTAAAGCGGCACCTGAACTGATCATCTCTTCATATTTACTGCTATTTATAGCACAGAATAAACATGAATGAACATTAGAAGATATGTTGTTTCAACCATGGAAAGACGTCAATACACACAATTTTTTAAGTTCTATGAATTTTTTAAGTGCTATGATCTATGAATTTCCCAAAAGCAACTATGGTTGCAAGTTATGTCATTACCAACAGAGTTCAATGGAACTTGTAACCACAGTTAGCTAATGTTACTTTTTGGGAAACGCACCCCTGTTTTTTTTGTTTTCTCATTATGATTGGTCAGATCGGCTGTCAATCAAACTCCCTGCTAAGGGTGAATTCTATAGACTGTATAAAACATGGGCGTAGTGTCCGTGACGTCACCAGTAGGTTTCTGAAGAGCATTTTTAAAGACAAAAGTGGGCGGAACCGGCCGTCGCCATCTTGGCGGTGCGTCACTCCCGGATAATTGAAAATGGGCAAAGAGGCGGGACGTGGGTGGAGCTTGTTGCTGAAACCACGCCCATCCAGCTCGACGGTGGTGACAGCAGCGGCAATCCACCTATCACTCAAG